TATATTTTCTTTGGGTGCTGTTTGACTTTATTGCACAAGTTTTAAGATCTGTTTTCTAAATAGTTTGTATTTTCTAAGTAGTTTTATTCCATCTTTTGTTCACATTGCTCTTACTGTTAAAACTTTTTGTTGTGAGATATGTCATGTGTTGAAAATATGTAGAACATAAGCTTCGTGTAACACACAGCTAGAGTGACTACTTGGGAACCTAGCCAGCACCCAGGTGAAGAGAACGCACATTGCTAGCACTACAGAAACGTCTGCCGGCTGCTTCCAGATCGCTGTTCTCTGTACACTCATCTTTCTTTATTTTTCTCTAGTGTTATCACTCGTGTGCATCCTTAAAAAATATAATTTAGTGTCGCCTATTTTTTGAGCTTTTGAAAATTATATTTTATGTATTTTTCATACCTTTGTTGTGTTCAACATTATGTGTGAAATTTGTTCCTATTGTGTGTAGCTATAGTTCTTTTGCATTGCTGTATTTACTCCATTATTGAATACACCATACTGTTTATCCCCTTGACTATTTGCAGACATCTGTATTGTTTCCAGTGTCGTTAGGAACAGCGAATGCTGCTGTGATTATTCTTGTCTGTATTTCATGGTACCCCTGTGCCAGCATTTCTCTGGGACACATACTTACTAGTTGGATGACTGGGGCATGAGGATCAATTTCTTCTTTTACCCAATAATCTAGAAAAAATAACTTTTTAAAAAGCATTTTCACATGGTCTTGGAGTTATTTTTAGTGCATCAATGTGGTCAGAGAATATGGCCTGTGACCTGTGAGCAATCGTTTAGACTTCACTGTTGGTGTTACTGTTGTCTTTGCTCATTGCTATTTCTTGTACTATGTCTCCTGCTCCCTGTCCCTCAAGTATAGCCCTGAATGATATCCACATTGGTGTGGAGAATCCAGAGGCGAACATACACAGAGATGCTTCCTGTCTTGATGGAGCTAGATATAGAATTTTAAGTTTATAATTGAGTCTCTTCCCAGTTCTTTACACTTTTATCTTCTGATATTTATTGTTACAAATGAAAAGTCTGATGCCTATCTGATTCTTACTTCTTTCTGGTAGTTAGTATGATTTTCTCTGTAATTGTAATGTGTGGGGTTTTACTTTTCAGTATTTGTTTTTCGAGATAGGGTCTTGCCCTGTTGCCCGGTTGCAGTGCAGTGGTGCGATCACGGCTGACTGCAGCCTTTACCTTCTGGGCACAAGCAGTCCTCCCACCTCAGTCTCCTGAGTAGTTGAGACTACAGGTGCGCACCACCATGCATGGTTAATTTTTAAAAAATTTTTGAAGATATGGGTTTTTACCATGTTGCCCAAACTAGCCTCGAACTCCTGGGCTTAAGTGATCTTCCTACCTTGGCCTCCTGAGGTGTTGGTATTATAGGCATGAGCCACCATGTCTGGCTTTCAGTATTCCTTTGGGGCATTCAGAGCCACTTAATATTCTCAAGTTTTTCTTTGGCTCAACAGCGTTTGTCTCTTTTCTTTCTTTTTATTCCCTTCCATCCTGTGGATGAATGTTAGATCTCTTTATCTTCCATGTCCCTTAACTATTCCCTTTCTTTTTTCCCCCTCCATTTCCTTTTTTTCTCTGTTCTAAGGGAGTGTCACAGTTTTATTTTCCTAATCATAAATGCCTTGTTGAGAAGTCTATTGTGCTCTGGCCCTCCTACAGGTGTTTTTTGTTTTTTATTTATTCAGGGGGAGGGTATCTTATTTTTATTACTAGAATTGTCTTTTACATAGTAACCTGTTTTTTGTTTTGTGGATACAGTATCTTCTCAGTTACTGCTGAAGATTCCAATTAGGTTTTTAAATTCTGATTATTTCCTTCATTGGTAGTGCTTCAGGTCATTTGTGCTTATTTGACTTGGCACCTTCCTTTCAGATTGCTAGTTTTCTTCAACTCTCTGTGGTGCATGGTTATCTGTTCATTTATACATGAGATATACCATTGATCAGTATTAGTTGTTGATATGACTGTTGCATTAGAGTTATCTAAAGGGACAGAACTAAAGTATATATATATATACACACACACATATTTATATTAAGGAGTATTAAACTCACACAATCACAAGATCGCACAATAGGCCATCTGCAATCTGAAAAGCAAGAAAGCCAGTCCTAGTTTCAAAGCTAAAGAACTTGAAGCCCGATATTCGAGGGCAGGAAGCATCCAGCACAGGAGAAAGATGTAGGCTGGAAAGCTGAGCCAGTCTAGATGTTTCATGTTTTTCTGACTGCTTTACATCCTAGCCTCGCTGGCAGCTGATTAGATGGTGCCCACCCAGATTAAGAGTGGGTCTGCCTCTCCAAACCCACTGACTCAAATGTTAATCTCCTTTGGCAACACCTCACAGACACATCCAGGATCACTACTTTGCATCCTTCAATCCAATCAAGTTGACACTCAGTATTAACCATCACAGGTGTCTTCAAAATTGTCACTCTTTTCTGCTGTGGCCTCCCTCTCCTGGTTTGCAGACTCATGCTCATCCTGTGGCACGAGGATGGGGAGGTGCTGGCAGGAGAGCTTTCTAGCTCCTGAGTTAAAAGGCAGAGATGGTGTCTCTTTCAAGATTTTGCTGCTGTGTTGAGTTATATTAAAAACATTGTCTTTTTTCTCTGGTTTTCACACTCATAGTAAGAGGCCATCAAGATAGGCTTCTTATATCAGAGGGTGATCCTTACCAACTGTAGCTGGGAGAGGTACAGTAAAGAATGTTAGATTGTTCTGGAAAAAAGTGGTCCCTCCATTATTTGGATTGGGTTTGTGGCTTTGTCAAGCCCAGCAGTCTGATTCCGTCTGCTTTGTGTCTTCCAGCATGTCTCTGTGGTTTTGGTTCACTCAGGGTATTCTCATTGTAGCTGTTATTTTTCTGCTGCTGAGGCAGACTTATTCTTTTTAATAAAATACTGTCATTTTGGTGGGGTTTTGGAAAGAGGACCAGGCCACATCCTGAAAAGAAATTCATCTTAGGATTTCACAACCCTAACTCACTTTTTGTTTTGATTAAATTACTTACCCTTTTTGAGGGGTGGGGGCTCAGCTTTGTCGTTTGTAAAATGAAAGAGAGTAACTGGGCTGATGGTTACAGACATGGATGCATGTCAGAATCACCTCAGAGAGTTTTTTAAAAACAGATTCCCCCCAGCACTTTGGGAGGCCGAGGTGGGCGGATCATGAGGTCAAGAGATCGAGACCATCCTGGTCAACATGGTGAAACTCTGTCTCTACTAAAAATACAAAAATTAGCTGGGCGTGGTGGCAGGCGCATGTAGTCCCAGCTACTCGGGAGGCTGAGGCAGGAGAATCACTTGATCCCAGGTGGCGGAGCTTGCAGTGAGCTGAGATCCTGCCACGGCACTCCAGCCTGGTGAGAGAGTGAGACTCCATCTCAAAAAACAACAGCAACAACAAAACCCCAGATTCTCAGGTTAGGCACTGAAATTAGCATTTTTTTTTTCCTTTTTTGAGACGGAGTCTCACTCTGTCACTCAGGCTGGAGTGCAGTGGCGTGATCTCGGCTCACTGCAAGCTCTGCCTCCTGGGTTCACACCATTCTCCTGCCTCAGCCTCCCGAGTAACTGGGACTACAGGTGCCCGCCACCACGCCCGGCTAATTTTTTGTATTTTTAGTAGAGACTGGGTTTCACCATGTTAGCCAGGATGGTCTCGATCTCCTGATCTCGTGATCCACTCACCTCGGCCTCCCAAATTGCTGGGATTACAGGCATGAGCCCCCACACCTGGGCAATGAGTGTTTCAAAAGTGTTCTTTTAATCACTGATACAACCAAAGTCTTTGGGACTTTTAGGCCAAGTATATATACTTTAGATACCCAGAATACTTTGATTTGTAATATAACAATTTAGGGAAATGAAGAAGGGGTGAATTACATTTTGGAAGCTGCTGCTTGCTTTCTTTTTCCATTTAGATTTTAGAAGACAAAGAATGTCTAAAGAGATGCAGATTTAAAGGAAATACAAGTAATTCTGCATGGGTATGTTTATCTACATGGCATTCTCCAGCTCACTAATCCAGAAGAGTTCTAACACCCTCTGTGATCATGGGTTTGTTTTTCTTAAGTATTCCTCCATCAGAGTATCTGAGAACAGATGCTTAGAAAGTGCTGAGACCTTTGTTGGTCTTACTGGATCTCCGAATCCTAGTTTCTTGATATTTTACGTATTCTGGATTCTAACCTGAACTGGCCTTCATGATTAAAGATGCATTTATATACTGTACACTGGCCAGGAAGCTGATCTTTTGAAATTTGCCCAACTGGGTATGAAGGCCCTTCCTAAAACCCCATTAAATTCAATTCTAAACTTGATGATCGTCAATTGTGTCAGTTGGTAAATTCTGTCTTGTAGAGAGGTATTTTGTAGTAAATAACTTGTTTTTAAAACTAAAATTTGCCTTTTAGTGAGGTGGTAATCATTTCATAATTCTTAGTTTTGTGAAGTGTCTATAAATCACAATCTGATCTTTTAAAATGAAAGGCAGTTGAATTTATGTAATGATTCAGGCTTTTCAAAGTTAAAAAGGTAGTTATTTTAAGGAATGGATAGTTTGTGATATTTATTTTAAACAAAATAAGCCATTGTTCTTATACACATAGCCATGTAAGTAAAATGTTTTCTTATTTTAAATTAGATTCCGTTTTAACGTTTTTTTCAGTTTTGCTTTATATTTTACTTATATTTTTTATGTTTTATATTTATATTTGATTGCTTTTCTTTATTCCTAATTCTTTTATTTTCTGTTCCATTTTTAAAAGCTGATGACTGTTGTTTGTCAAACCAGAGTTGGATTTAAAAATAAACATTTAATGTTAATAAGCTCTCTGGTAGCGGCACTGCAGTGACAGATGGTTGACAGTTTGTCCCTAAAGCTATGGCACCAGTCTTCTAATGGACTTAGCCTGTATTCAGCCTGTGTAACCCTGGCAGATATTTTCTCTGTTTCAGAATGGGACAACAGAGGAAGTGACTTCAGAGGAAGAGGAAGAAGAGGAGATGGCCGAAGTAGGTATTTTATATAAGAATGACATTTCATAAATGTTGTCATTTTTGAGTAATTCCATAAATCTCCTTTGTAAGCTACTATTAATGTGGAATAATTGAAAGCACATTGTATTTGGAATGCAATATAATTTCTCAACTCTGGCTTTTCCTCTGATGATACGCCTTTGAGCAAATAGCTTTATCTGAATTCTTTGGATTTGATTTTGTGGAAAACAAAAGTCCTTAACTTTTACCACCAAAGTTGTATTTATATTTAATACTAATCAGTCCTTAGCCTGCATTTGGTTATTTTTAGGAAGAGGAACTACTACGTTTAAAAAATGTTGTGTTTGCGTAAAAGGAGAATTTGAGAACATGTTAGGGACTACTCACCAGAAGTAGTGAAACTGTCTCTTGTTGAAAAATCATCAAGGAATTTTATGTTAGTCTGTTTTATGCTGCTATAACAGAATACCAGAGACTGGGTGATTTATAAGGAACAGACATTTATTTTCTAACAGTTCTGGAGACTGAGAAGTCCAATATGAAAATACCAACAGTTGGTGTCTAAGGGCATTGTTGTATCCTCAGATGGTAGAAGGCAGAAGGGCAGGAGAGCAAGCTAGTCCCATGTGTGAAGCCTCATTCGTCAGGGTCTTAATCCCATTAAGGAGGAAGGAACCCTGTTGGCCTGATCTCTTAAAGGTCCTACCTCTTAATATCATCACATTAGAAACACCTGAATTTTGGAGGGAACACATTTGAACGGTAGCAAATTTACTGGAGCAGATTCCAACAACATTGAGCCTAGGCCAGTTGTAAGTCCTGAGTATAATTTTAGATGTTTCCAGGCTCTGAAGCTTTGTATTTAAATTCAGACTTAGGAAAAAAGATCTGTGTCTCTGCATTGACCAAATAGAAGGTATGTGAATGTTATGGTCTTGATTGTTTTAAAAGATATTTTCTCTTTGGGGTCTTATAATTAATTTAGGTTTTCATTTTCTTGGTTTAGAAATTATTAATGTAAAATTTACTTTACAGTGCTTCAGAACTAAAGAAGTAGTGTTGTAGGCTTGTTTTCATTTGTTTGCGACAGGGTCTCGCTGTCACCCAGGCTGGAGAGCGGTAGCATGGTCACGGCTCACTGCAACCTTGAACTCCCCAGTTCAAGCAATCCTCCTAAGTAGCTGGGACTACAGGCGGGTGCTCCACGTCCAGCTAATGTGTGTTTGTTTGTTTGTTTGTTTGTAGAGTTTGAGTCTCGCTCTGTTGCCCAGGCTAGTCTTGAACTTTCTGACCTCTAGTGATCCACCACCTTGGCCTCCCAGAGGTGTGCACGGCTATGCCTGGCTGTAGGCTTCTTTTATGAGTCTGGGAGGAAAATACTTCTTAGAATTGTCCAATTAGAATGAGAGTTTGTTTTAATGTTTTTATGCAGTTTAGCTGAGGTGGAATAAACTGCATGAAAACATTAAACCTTTTCCGTGGGTCAGGCGGCCATTGTACTAAAGATCATGAACCCTTTCGTTTTCCCCTCACAAGATAATGAACAAGGGACCGCAACTTTGAGGGAAATCTAGAAAGGTAAGAGACTGGACGTTGGAGATGTCAGATGAGGACAGGTGAAAAGCAGATATTCTAAGCTTCTAAAAGAACATGGGAACAGGCCCAGAACAACCTTGGACATGGTGTGTTTGGGTGCATTGGATGCTTTTCTTTTGAGAAGGAAAGTTGATGTGTTGAAGTCATGGAAAGCAAGATTGGCCAGAAAAGGCAGATGGTTAAAAGTCTTGAATTCGAGACAGGCGTGTGTTTCTGTTTGGTGTGATTATTGATATGAAGACCTTGAGCAGGGAATAGTGTGCTGAGGATATTGCTTTAGAAATATGTGTTGAATTCTGTTTGTGATGTGCTGATTAATACTAAGGTGGGGAAGTTTTGTGGATGGGAACATGACTGAGGTTGAAGGTATAGGAGGAAATACAGGTCAAAGGCATTTGTGAGCATTGTGAGGAAAATAAGTGTAGGATGGAAGGTCAGGGCTGAAAGGTGCACACAGGGAGAAGGGAGCTTCATGACATATGGAGTCATGTGCAGAGTTTGAGTGGAGGTAGTCAGTAACCTGCTCTAGAAATCAGTGAATTAGCCGGCTTGGGAAAAAAAAGAATCAAAATGAGTATAAACTACTTCTTTAGAGTATTTGGCATTTGAAGTGGAGAAATAATTTAATTGAAAAAAGGATTTTTAAAAATCTGCATATATTTGTGTATGTGTAAGAACAGATAGTATGGGAAGGGAGGGAGCAGAATGATGTGAATAAAGATGTTGTTCTGGGGGGTATTGTTCAAATTCTTTTTAAATTATTACTATTTTTTGAGATAGGGTCTCTGTTACCCATGCTGGAGTGCAGTGGCATCATCATAGCTTGCTGCAGCCTCAAACTCCTGGGCCCAAAGGAGCCCTCTGTTTCAACCTCCTGAGCACCTGAAATCAAATTCTTTTTCTGACTCATTTTTTAGTTACTAACGTCAATAGATGCTTTCTATATAAAACCATAAACTGAAATTAGGGAAAGCACCAAATGTCTCCAGAGATAACAACTAAAATTAATTGAAATGAACATTTCAATATAAGTCCTTCTGGTCTTTTTCTGTGCGTATTTCAGCATAATTGAAATTCTTTCTATTCCTTTGTGTATTCCATTTTTCATTTCAAAGTTTTTTGATACAGGAGAAATTATGCTGTGTTGGTATTTCAGTGGCCTCTTAATAGTTCATGGAATTGAGTTAACTGTTTTGCTATTTTTGCACATACAGATTTTGTGTGTATTTTTGTGGCTGCAAGTTTGAAATAGGTATCCTTATGCCTAAATTTGTGTTTACATCTTAGACTAGTTTCTTGGAATACAATTCTAGAAGTCGAGTTTCTGGGACAAACTATGAACAGTTAAGGTTCTTGACACCTGCTGCTAAACTGTCTCAAAGATTCCTCTTAAGAGGAGATTTAAAAGATGGCTTGGCCGGGCGTGGTGGCTGATGCCGGTAATCCCAGCACTTTGGGAGACCAGGTGGGCGGATCACTTAAGGTCAGAACTTTGAGATCAGCCTGGCCAGCATGGTGAAACCCTGGCTCTACTAAAAAGATAAACAAATTAGCTGAGCGTGGTGGTGTAGGTCTGAAATCCCGGCTGCTCGAGAGACTGAGACATGAGAATCACTTGAACCTGGGAGGCAGAGTTTGCAGTGAGCAGAGATCACCCCACTATACTCCCGCCTGGGTGACAGAGTGAGACACTATTTAAAAAAAAAAAAAAAAAGTAAATAAAGAAATGATGGCTTACTTAGTAATAGTTATGGCTTTGTGAAGCTTTTAAATCTGCTTTACACAGAGTCTAGCTTTTAAATAAAATATAGTGTATGAAAGGTGGGAGCCTCATGAGTGGAATGTGTGGGCTTTTTCTCTCTCCCCATAGGGTAGATATATTCTGTTTCTTATCCTCCATTGAATCAAGAATAATTTAACTTTTGCATAAGAAAGTGCTGAAGAAAAATAGGTTGAATAAGCTAACATTTTTCTTCTTTTTGCAGGATATAGAAGACTGAGATCACTGTGAGATGAAAGAAGAGCCTATTAGTGGGAAAAAGTTGGAGGATGAAGGAATTGAAAAAGAAAATTTGGCAATATTAGAGAAAATTAGGAAGACTGAAAGGCAAGACCATTTGAATGTGTAAGTGTGTATAAATAGCTAGAGCCTGGACTTTTTGGTTAAGTAATTATAGTTGATACCTGGCAATTCATGAACCAGCCGAATTCAGCTGCTCTCCTCCTCCATTCCTGCCTTAGTGGTAGATTCAGTCATCTGTTTATTGGTTTGGAGACAGGGTCTTGCTCTGTCGCCTGGGCTAGAGTGCGGTGGCACAATCATAGTTCACTGTAGCCTTGATGTCTCAGGCTCCAGCGATCCTCCTGCCTCAGCCTCCCAAGTGTCTTGGACTATACGCATGTGCCACCACACTAGGCTACTTTTTTCGATTTTTAGTAGAGATGAGGTCTCACTGTGTTGACCATGCTGCTCTTTAACACCTGAGTTCAAGCGATCCTCCTACCTCGGCCTGCCAAAGTGCTGGGATTACAGGCATGAGCCACCGTGCCTAGCCACAGTCATACGTTTTCTTGCCCAAGGTTATCTTTCTCATCTATGAATAGCCACTTTTTACCCTGTTCATCTGCTCTTCACATCCTGGAACCACCTGCTGATCCCTGTGTATGCCCCTTTCCAGCCTGTTTATGCTGTTTTCTCTGCTTACCTTCCTTCTGTGGCATCTGTATACTGACATTCATTCTCTCCTACAAAACAAGTCAAATTATTTCTCCTTCATGAAACTGACTTTGGTCCATCCTGCTGTGACCAAACCAAAAGTTATTCTTCTCTTTTCACTTAACATCTCTTTTATGTGAAGCAGCAGGATATGAAAGGAACATTGAGTTTGGTGACAAACACACCTTTTTTGGTTTCACTTTGCTCAACTGTAAAATATGGATAGACAGTACATACCTTTTGGATGACTGCTATGAAAAATAGATGAGAATGATGTGTGTATATACATGAAGCGCTCAACACAGTAGGGAAACCTCAGATGATTATCTGAACACTTACTACTTCCTGTCTTCTATTAGAGCTATTTACCAACTCCACGAAAGCTGAGAACCAGTTACTTTGTCTTGGGCACAGGGTCTCCAAAACAGGGAGACCAGTTTCGGTAGGCAAGTAGATGCCAAGTGTTGAAACCAGGTAAATAACTCTCCCTACTTCAGTCTTAGTTATATATTAATTTAATTAATAATTCCTCATAGAGGAAAGACATTTAGTCAATTTCTCATATCTTGATTATTTAAAAGACTAACTTTGTAGCATTTGAATTAATGTTACTGTACTTTCCGTGTCTTGTGATCGATCCCAGTTTGAGTTATCTTCAAAACAAGTGTAAATTATTGAACACTTTCGCATGACCGATACTATGCTAAGTACTTTATATATCTTCTGATTTAGTCTTCATAGCCGCTGTGTGAAATAGGTGCTCTTCATATTTTAGAGAGGAGAAACTTCTCATATTTTATAGATAGGAAATGAGCTCATGGTTACATAGCTAGGAAGTAATACCTTTGTAAACTTGATTTATTTTCTTTTTCAGAGTATAGTGCAGTCTTTAAAACCTTTAGTTTCACATGACCAAAAAGTAGTTCCATTTCTATTTAGTCTTAGGATAAGATATCGATATGTTTTCCTCTTTAGAGAAGTCCCCGCACTGAAAAACTGAGACCAGTTGCATGTAGGCACACATGGTTCTCAGAGTCTCCATGTGTGAACTAGACCATCTGTGTAATATTCTTGCTTGTAGCCTTATGGATGGAAGTCTGTGTTAGTTAGAATGTGTCACCTTGAGTGTCTTCTAGTATTTTCAAAAATTGCTGGGGTTTGGAATAGACTCATACTGAATTCTCTGCTATCGTGGATTCCCTGGTGGTCGGAACATGTTGGCTAGAGTTTTTCAGATGATAAGAAATAGGAAATGAACAGACTCGTGTCTAGCTTTATATTCTCATGAAACTTCATAATGCTTCATTTAATTGGACTTTTTTTTTACTTCCTAAAATGTTGAGTGATGATCCAAGTTTATTGCAATCTTTTTCTTTTTTTTTCTTTTAAGACGGAGTCTCGCTCTGTGGCCCAGGCCAGAGTGCAGTGGTGCCATCTCAGCTCATTGCTGCCTCTACCTCCCAGTTTCAAGAGATTCTCCTGCGTCAGCCTCGAGTAGCTGGGACTACAGGCACGTGCAACCACGCCCAGCTAACCTTTGTATTATTTTGGTAGAGATGGGGTTTCATCTTGTCGGCCAGACCGGTTTCAAACTCCTGACCTCAAGTGATCCACCCTCCTCGGCCTCCCAAAGTGCTGGGATTACTGGTGTGAGCCACCACGCCTGGCTACTGTAATCTTTTAGATCAGGTTGAAATACCTTAAATCTTTAGATTAGTTGGCTCAGTAGACCCTGGTAAACAGTGGCTTTTGTGTTTCAGGCTGCAGTGTCTGGGTCAGTGCAAGCTTCAGATAGACGTATGAAAGAGCTCAGGGACATATACAGATCACAGAGTTACACGACAGGAAAGGATCTCTAAATCCCTGCTCTTCTTCTTGTTCTTTTGCTCTTTTCTGTTGTCAGATTATAAATGTCCTTTCTTAAAAGTGGACCAAAATGGAAATGTTTACTAGCTTTATTTTGTGAAATTCAAAGACAATCAAGTTCCAAAAGATGTAGAGGGTAAGATAGGATGAGTTTACTTGTTTTTTGGATTTAAAGAAACGTTTTTATACCTCCATCAGAATTGTTTTTGTCATTTTCCTGATAGTGAACTCTTACATGATTTTTATCTTCTAGCAAAAAGCTCAAGCTTCAGCAATATTGCTTGGAAAGTAAATAAGAGTAATACATTTCATTATACAGAGAATGATTGCCAAGTTGATTTTATGACTTTTCCCCCAGTTTTGAAAGCATCAGAATCAACTCTTATTGTGGAGATAGTTATGTTATTACTTTTAAAATATATACGTGGAGTACACCTGTAGTCCCATCTCCTAGGGGTGCTGGGAGGCTGAGGCAGGAAGATCGTTTGAGCTTGGAGAGGTCAAGGCTGCAATGCGCTGTGATTCCACCATTATATTCCAGCCTGGGTGACAGAGTGAGACACTCTGTCAGAACACATAGTTCTGTCCATGGCAGATTGTTCTCCTTGAACCCCTTGGCTGATAGTACAAGTTTAGGAAAGCATATTAAACTTCTTTTGAATTCTTGAGAAAATTGTATACATGTGACTGTTTTCCTTTAGAATGACTACAAACTCTGAACCCCCTTATTAGATCAGATTTAGGCTATTATGATCTCTTTTGGACATTTATTGTAAAGGAACTGGAAGCTATAGTGACCTCTCTTTTTCCTGGGAAATTAGAGCAGTTTAAGATCTTCTCTTTCTGGAACTTACCCTAGGTGCTCTATTTTAGCTTTCAGATTCGTTAATTTTTGAGTTAGTTGAAAATAAAAATTATCTTTTTGTTTGAACTGTTTTTTGCTTTGGGATTCTTAGGGTTGACCCTGATAGTCCTTTGCACAGTGATCTTCAGATCTTAAAAGAAAAAGACGGCATGGGAGATATTTTGCCGAACTTACCTTTTAAGGTAAGAAAATTGTTTCAGGACTCTATTATTCGAATAGGGGTGTATATTTGTACAAGTGTTTTGGAAAACAATTTGGTAAAGTGGAAGATACTCATACGCTATGGTTCAGGAATCGTGTGGATATACACTCCACAAGAAAGGAGTACGTAGGCACCCGGAGACGGGAATGTTCAGAGCAGCATCGTTTATAATAGCCCCAAACAGAAAATAACCCAAGTGTGCATTCCAAGAAAATGAAGAACTGCAGTTTTCATAAAATGGCTTACAGCTGAGTGGGACCAGCTGGGCGAACCTTGAACACTATGTTAAGCAAAAGACACCAGACCCCAAAAACCTATTTTGTATAATTTTCTCTATATAGAGCTCAAAAATAGCAAAGCTAAGGTTAGTTAGGACATTCATTTGTAGTGGAGGCAGTGTCACCTACAGTGGAGTGAAAATTGCTCCTTAGAGTAAAAGAAAACGTTACCTATTATAATGTCTGCTGCCCTCCAAAGGATCATATAACATAAACCAACATACAATATGTCTCTGGTTTTGAAATTCCACCACAGGGGCATGGGGGGTAGAATTAGGAAGAAAACTTCTAAAAAGGCTTCTTAGGGGGACTAAAATGAAAAGAAAACTGAGAAACACTTATTTCTGGATTCATACTTGGGCAGTAAAACTATCAAGAATAAAGAGGTGATTCCATAGAGGTTAGCATAAGGAGTCCATCCAGGCGAGAGGTAAGGAGGCGTGACCTGAAAGGGACTTCTGTGGGCTTCTTGGATACTGGTTGGAATATGTTTCTGGACCAGGTTGGTGGTTACATGGACAAATAATTTACGATAACATGTTAAGGTATACCTTACAGTATATTTTATGTACTTTTCTGAATGTATGTGTTATATTTAATAAAGTATTTTTAAGATACTAAAAATAAAGGATGCAAAGAAATAATAGTGGAATCTAGAAGAAATGTTAATGATCTAATATGGAATCTAGATAGGATGTAATGGTTTAAAATCTATGGCTATATGAGGTATTTTGATGGAAAAAAACAGGCATAAAACAATACTTTGCTGTACTTACTCTAAGGATGGTAGTAGTTTTCCAAAAGCTTCCAACTTAGCTTTCTGTGTATATTTTTCTTGGGGATATATCTTATGATTGAACTTTCTTGAAATGACCCTAATGTCAGTATTGTCTCTCACTTTTGTTATCATAGAAACTGTTGTGGTTGTCAACTGGATTGTCTTCCTAAAGTATGAATCCGGTATATATTGACTGAAGTTGCTAATGGTTACTTCTTTACGGATTCATATCGGGGAGTGAATGAAGCACACAGGCCTAAAACAAAAAACAAAACACAAAAACACCAGGAAGGTTTCTTTCTTTTTTAAAACATTAAATCATACGTCCACATGCCCAACACCAAACTTAAGAAATAGAACCTTTGGCTGTGCGTGGTGGCTCACGCCTGTAATCCCAGCACTTTGGGAGGCTGAGGTGGGTGGATCACTTGAGGTCAGGAGTTTGAGACCAGCCTGGCCAAGATGCAAAACCCCATCTCCATCAAAAATACAAAAAATTAGCCAGATGTGGTGGTGCGTAACTGTAATCCCAGCTACTTGGGAGGCTGGGGCAGGAGAATCGCTTGAACTCGGGAGGCAGAGGTTGCAGTGAGTCGAGATTGCACCACTGCCCTCCAGCCTGGGTGACAAAGTTAAACTCCATCTAAAAAGAAAGAAAAAGAAAAGCTAAGCATGGGCTTAATTTCTCTGAGGTTTAAAGCTGCAAAGAGTTAGTCTTCATGAAGTAGGTGGGATCCCAGCTGGGCCATGAAATGTGAGTGGGGTTTGGTCAGCTGGTGGAAGTTGAAGGAAAATTATTTATGTAGGTGACAGGTAAACACAATCAGGTATCTAGGAAAGAGAATGAGAGATTCAGAGTGTAGGAGACTAGTTGGAGCTATGACACGAGGGTAGGATTCATGTTGAAGGTTTGTAGGAAATAGTGCTGGCGTAATATCTTGTACTCAAACAGTTCTGCGGATTGGTGACAGATCTTTTGTTTTTCTTTTTTCTGGTAAGTCAACTATTATGCCTGGATATTCATCTATCTATGTAACTGGTTGAGAAATAGGGGAGTAACAGTAAAGAAACTGTCTTAGAATAAATCTGGTGGCAGCAGAAGAGAATATGAGACACATTGCCCTCACAGAGCTTGAAGAGTGTGACGATGATTTGAGGGCAACGCTGTTGTCTTAGAGTGAAGTGAGGAGAACCTACATTGGTTTGGTAGTCATGGGGATGGAAGGAGGAATGAAATGTGAAAGCCCATTGGCGGCAGAATCAAAATGGCTTGGTCTTTGTAGTCCACTATTAAGTAAGGAGGAGGAATTATTGGCTGACTTAGGAAGAAGTAAAAAATGTGAAATATCAACAAAACACAAAGCTTGCTATTTTAGTCAGGGTAAAACTTAAGCATTGTGTGATTCTAGATAGATTATTGAGCAGTTTTGTTCCTTGTATTTTATATCCCATATCTTCTAGCTATGACCCTATTTCTTTATTTCTTCACATAGCCAAACATTTTTCAAACTGACAGCTTTATTGTGATACAGTTTTTATGTGATAAGCCTAACCCTTCAAGTGTACAGTTCAGTGGTTTTTAGTATATTCAGATTTATGCAACCATTACCACTACCTAATTTCAGAACATTTTCATCTCCCTAAAAAGAAACCCCGTACCCATCAGTAGTCATGTACCTGTCTCCCGCATGCTTCATCCTGGCAACCTGTGATCTAATTTCTCTCTCTGTAGATTTGCCTGTCCTGGACATTTCATATAAATGGAATCATACAAAAGATGGCATTTTGTGACTGACTTTTCTTTACAGTGATTATAAATCAAATGCCTGAAGAGGCTCAGCTTAGGATAGTGTTTGCTGTACAACTTTGACAACTGAACTTTTTTATAGTTGAAAATGTGACTGTGTCTGTATATGTGGCATATTATCTTAGATGACCCTTACTTGGATTATTAAGAATTTTTTCTCCTAGTGTTCTTGAACTGTCTCAATATTCAGCAGGAACCCTTTGGAGACAAAGAGCAGTAAGAATGTGGAACACATATTGACAAAATGAAGGTAATTTAATACAGTAGTAGAGTCGACCACTTTCCAGTGTCGCTGCTGCTGACACTGTGTGTTAAGAAAAGTTTACTGACCTTACTTTTGGTGGAGGTGCTAGAACTACTTCTGTCTTGTGTTCAGATTTCAACAAACCTTTGCATAGGTATTATGTGGTTGTACAAATGTACTTTCTTTCGACCAGAAAATGCAAAAACTTCCTTTCTTCCCACTTTCTGAGACTCTGCAACCTTAAAGGAAGAGTGGAGTGCTTTAAAGGAAAAGTGGTAGCTGGGTAATGGGTAACAATGTCTACTGTATACTTCCTTTCCCAAAACAAGTCCCTGTCTACCGTCAGCATATCCAAAATGTGAAGATCAAGTGTGGTGTTAACTCATTAGCTAGTAACTAGACTTTGAGTGGTTGTGAAAGCAAAATCTCAGTGAGGGCCTGGATGTTCTAATTCTGTTAAATCAGTGAGTGCACATTCTATACAATACTGTCTTAGCCCAGAGGCAGATTTAAGGAGTGGGAGATAGATTTCTGTTTCAGAAATGAAATACACAAAGAATAAACATTTTTAATCCCATGATTCTTTACCTGAGTTTAATGTTTTGGAGAGTTTATCTTTCAGATTTTCTTTCCCTTCCATTAAACTGTTACTTTGAAAGGTCCCAGGGTTTTGGGAAAGCAAGTGGGAAAGACACTGACTTGGATTCTCCAGGATAAAAGAGTGAAGAGGACTTCTTTTCCTCATTTTATTATTGAATAATGTCACGATAACAATTATGAAAGTGAATGGTCTATGGTAGAAGTTTTTAGATGGCTTCTCTGCAAAATAATTTGGTTTAGTCAATGCAAGGATGCCTTTGGTTAGCTGGAATGGAAGATGTGCAGGCTGGAGTGCTCTTGGCAGGTTTTCTGAGGGGAAATACAGCATTTGGAAGGGTGGGAAGCAGAAGGAATGTCTGGCAAGGGAAATGTGTGAGCAAAGCCCCAGAGGACAGAACAGGTTGTGGTGGACTTGGTGTCCACATAGACCTAATCAGTGGTCTTAGCTTTTGTGTTTTCAAAATTACCACAGTTTCTATTCTAAAACTGTCATTGCCTTGATTTTATTTTAGACATGCTACTGTGTATTTTGAAATATAACATTAAAGGAGAAATGAAATTATTTTGAGAAGGAGGTAAAAGGTTAAAATATCTTTATCTAAATAATTTTCTTTTTTTTTCTTTTTTTTCTTTTTTTTTTTTTTGAGACGGAGTCTTGCTGTGTCGCCCAGGCTGGAGTGCAGTGGCCCGATCTCAGCTCACTGCAAGCTCCGCCTCCCGGGTTCACGCCATTCTCCTGCCTCAGCCTCCCGAGTAGCTGGGACTACAGACGCCCGCCACCTCGCCTGGCTAGTTTTTTGTATTTTTAGTAGAGACGGGGTTTCACCATGTTAGCCAGGATGGTCTCGATCTCCTGACCTCGTGATCCGCCCGTCTCGGCCTCCCAAAGTGCTGGGATTACAGGCTTGAGCTACCGCGCCCGGCCCTAATAATTTTCTACTAGGAGATTTGGTACATCCCCAGAAGTTGTGTTTGGTTCAGAGAATAGTCTTCAGACCTAGAAAGGACTTGAGGAGTCCCAGAGAGGAGCTACATGGTCTGAACCATTTGATTCTCACAACAGAATGGAGAAAAACAATTCCAACCATGAAGCAATGCGGATGTTCATATATTGAATAGGGTAAGGTCAGTGCCATTGTCAGAGGAAAAACTCTTGGCCATCACAGGATGGGAGAGAAAGTTGCAGTTGTAAAGAATACTCAAATGCCATTTAAGGAAACGGGTTCTTCTGCCTCTATGCTTTGGAATATTTATGGCTAAGTTCTTCATTTTTGACATCATAAATATTTCAAAGTATTCTGTTCTAAGAGCCATTTCAAACAATTGACTAGAATTTCAGAGCAATTACATGACAGTTGAAACATTAGAATTTTTAAATTGCCCATAGTCCTATATCCCTAACAAGTATGTTCATGCTTGCATGTTCTCTTCTCATCTTTACTGTGTGCATACTTTCTTAGTAATGGCACGTAGAAACTATTCAAGCAGGAATAATTCTTGTGATGATTTTTTCTGTTTCCTTTTTTCTTTTCAAGGTATGTACTGGGTGGAGGAGCATTATGTATGGAACTTCTCACAAAACAGGTGATTATTTTCTTATAATATTCAATTTTCACCCTCAATAGAGTGTTTCGATTATGGGAAGTTAGGTTTTAAGTAGAAGGTTCTCTTAAAGAAATTTTGGTGTTTTTTTATTTATTTATTTTTTTTAAATTTTCTTAGCTCCTACTTCCAAGAATGAAAAAGGTCAACCAGTAAAATGAGATTGTACTTGGTGCTGAATCTATACTAGGATTGGCATCGAACTTTATTTAAAGTTCTAATTTGCTCACGTTGGGCACATAGAACGTCAGTTTGTTGTTTTTTGTGAGATTCTGGAAATGTTCCAATTTTACTTTTTCCCCTTGTCTCCAGACTTTTTAACACTGATCTGCTGCTGTTGAGGTACATGCCATCTTGTTAGGCCTTCTCAAGTGGGAATCAGGAATGCTGCTGTGTTCTAGAGATGTTTTGTTCTTCCTGTAGGGCTGAAGCAGTGCCTACTCAATAGAACCGGTCATCGTGCAAAGAAATGCCACCAGACTCAAAGGCAAAGCCAGAGTGCAGCTTGGAGCAAAGAAGGTACTTTTATTAAGAATTTTAAAGAAACCAGAAGAGATGCTTTATATTTGTGAGCCTTCTTCCTGTCTTAATTCTTTTTGAGAGAATTCATTTCATTTTCATTTATTTTTTTTTCTTCTTGTTATAAAGATGATCTATAGAAAATATAGAAGTATAAGAAAATTAAAGATACTGATAATCACTTAATGATTTAGTATCTGCTTGTTTAGTCTTTGTTATATTTACTGTAGGCAAACATGGCTACAGTTGTAAATTTGTTATTGCTTTGTATACCCTAGTAAGTTAAAAGTTATATGTACTCTGAAGTTTTGCAAAATTGAGTTCATGTTATAGAATTAATTCCCGATGAACTTTTCTGTGCTAGGCACTAGCCTTTTTCATTATTTCTTTATTCATTTATTGATTTATTTTTCCTTTTTTTCCCCTCTGCGCCTATACTTACCAAGTCTTTTTATTTGTTACTTTTTATTAACTCTTTCGATCCTCTTAATAACTTAAAAAGAGGGTATTACTAATATCTGCATCTTGTAGATGAGGTAACTGAAGGTAGGTAACTAGTCCAGGGTCACAGGTGGCAGAGCAAGGATTAAAACCAGACAATCTGGCAGCCCAAGGCCCAACCAAGAGGAGCTGAGAGCCTGCACGGGGCAGAAGGATGTTGATGAGGCTGGTTTGCTGTTTAGTTAACATGAAACGCAGGCTGTAACCTTAATTCTAGGACATTACCAAGAAAGCCTTCCAAAGCCATAGCTTTTTTACCATGACCATGACTTTTAGCAAGAATTTGTGGTTTAAAGACAACATGGTGCCCTGAGAAGCTTCCGTTCACTCTTACGGAGGGACTGGTAGTTGAGCTAAATAGTGAAATCCTGGAGCACACAGCCTTTAGAGGAGCTTCTGACCTATTTTTGTGGTCTGGAAAGACACCAGTCTTTCCCTGCTGCCCACAGTCTCCAGTTACTCATCTTCAGTGTTTCCTCTTCTGTGATCACATTCAGATGAGAGATCTGTTTTGTTTTTTCCAGGGTAAGAGGAAGGGAGTCACCACCTATACTAAGCAGTCTAGTCTTCTGTGTATAAATGAGCAGGGTTGGGCAGCCAAATTTGAGAACCTTGTGTAATCCTGACATTCTCCAAGAGAATCCAACGGGATGTCAGGATTAGGCATGGTGGTAAAGTGGTCTCATGTTAGTTGTGTCCACAGCTCTCATCAGAAGCAGACACAGATACATTTGTAGGAAAGCATCTCTAACTTCCCAAAGCTTAAAAGCAGGCAACTACTAATTCAGTGAAATCATAGCATTCAAGTAGTTAACCCAACATATTTCAGAATTGTCAGAAACAATGAATAATACGTTTCCCAAAGACTGCAGGTTTTGGAATTATCAGATGCAGAACACAGACTTCAAATATTAGAATTGTGAGAAAATAGTTACATGTGAAGTACATCTAATATATAAAAAAAGATGGACTCATGAAACTGAGCGAGCAGTGAGACCACCAGAAGTGATGAGGAAGATCTGAAAGGAAATGGATGAAATAGAACTTACAGAAATAAAATATATAGCTGGGTATGGTGGCTCACACCTGTAATCCAAGCACTTTTTGAGAGGCTGAGGAAGGAGGATGGCATGAGCCCAGGAGTTGGAGATGAGCCTGGGCAACATGATGAGAACTCATTTCTACAAACATTACCCGCCACCACCACCAAAAAAAAAAATAATAATTAGCTGGGTATGTGGTACCTGCCTATCATCCCAGCTACTCAAGAGGCTGAGGTGGGAGTATCACTTGAGCCCAGAGGCCGAGGCTGCAGGTTTGTGCCACTGCAGTCCAGCCTGGGTGACAGAGTGACACTCTGTCTCAGAATAAAATGAAATAAGGGAATACAAAATGTAATTGTTGAAATCAGAAACTCAGTGGATGGATTAGACACCAGAAGAAAGGAGTATTTGGTTAGATGATTATCTCCAAAAAGTAAACCCGTATGTTACACAGAGAGACACGAGGATAAATGATAGGGCAGAAGTTGGTGGGGTTGTTGGGGAGAGGGAGATCAGAGTGAGGTCTAAAATATGTCTTAGTATAATCCCAGTAGGAGATATTAAAATTACACTGGAAAGTGAGAGAAATGGAAGTTTAAAGGTGACAGAAAGAAGTCCACATAAATCAGTCACAACGAATGTAAATGGACTAAAGTTACCAGTTAGATGGATGAAATAAAACAATATCCAGCTGTTTTAAACCATCATATTTAAAATATGAGGATGTGAAAAGATTGAAAGTTTTTATAAAGGAGAGAGAGTGATAAAGATATGCCCTGTACACATTAACCAAACAGAAGAGATGGAGCGTCAGTTTCAAACAAAATAGGATTTTGAAACAGAAAGCATTAGTAACGACTTGATGCTAAATGGCTGTTAATTAGGAAGATGTAGCAATTTTCATAGTTTATGTGCCTATCAAGATAGTCTCAAAATACAGAGGAAAAACTGATAAACCCACAGAGAGAAATTGACAAGTCTGCCATCATATTTGGAGATTTCAACATACCCTGCTTACCATAAGTAAGTTACACAGAATGCCCATATATAGATTTGAATAACCCGTGAATGGACGTGGTATAATGGACAAATACAGACCTCTGTACCCAATAGTTAGATATTCTATATTCTTCTCGAGCATCTGTGGACTGTGGGAGAAACCTTTATTATATATTAATCCGTAAAGCAAGTCAGAAGATTTAAAAACATTTGGTGCCATCCATACCATATAATTTATAATTTAAATATGAAGCAGTTACGGTTAGAAGTCAATAATGAAGAGATAAACCAAAAGCTACATGAATTTGGAAATTAAACACCCTTGTAATTCATAGCTTAAAAACTCCAACGAAATTTTAGAATGCTTAGAAGTGAACCATAGTTAAAATACGAAACTTCTATCTACTCTGCTCTCTCACCCTCTCCCTCCCTCTTCCTATCTGGAACATTGAGGAGGCTAATCTTTTTCAGTGAAGAACACCTCAAATACTAAAAAGTAGAAAAAGGACAGAAGTCATCCTCTGATCTTAGTTAAATCTATAAGTTACTAACAAAACCAGAAAACAAATGTTGATTGGTGGAATTTTACAATTCATGCAAACAGCCCTTAGGTCACACAGGGATTTGAAATTAAAACTGTAGAATATCTAGAGAATAGTAATAATGCAATCGTTACATATTAGCGACTAGAGGAGAGCTCAGAGGAATGTTCATTGCCTTAAAATCCTTATGTCATTAAGAAAAGAATGAAAATGAATTAAGCCTCTAACTCATTCTTAGAAAGGACAATCAAAAACCCTGAAGGAAAGCAGAATGGGGAAATGATTAAAGATACACAAGCAGAAATCAGTGAGTTTAGAAGAATAGAAGGGGCTAAATCCCCAGCGCAGTAAAGCCTCTGCAGAAACATTTCTTTAAACTGGGCTTTGAGTACGTTGCTCCTGATCATTGAAACTGGGAAAGGCCAACATTCTTATTTTCTCCTCATGTTTTGGGTGGTGGGCAGTAGGGTTTGGAAGTGACTGCTTCACAATCATTTGGGAGCTTCAGGGTATATGTACTTTGTATACACAGGTTGTTTCTGAATCTTTTATTTTTGTCCTTTCTGTGAAAATACAGACTGATTGAAAAATACTTTTTCATTAATGTTAAGAAAAGCGTGTTACTACACATTTTATATCTTCGTTTTTTAGTTGCATTATGGCAGGGCTTTACTATTTTAAAGAGCTCTTAGAAGTTGAAAAAGACTACCCTTTATAAAATGGGAGAAGTGGTGGCGGGGTGTGGTGGCTCACACCTGTAATCCCAGCACTTTGGGAGGCTGAGTTGGGTGGATGACCTGAGGTCAGCAGTTTGAGACCAGCCTCGGAAACATGATGAAACCCTATCTCTACTAAAAATATCAAAAATCAGCTGGGCGTGGTGGCAGATGCCTCTAATCCCAGCTGCTGGGGAGGCTGAGGCATGAAGAATTGCTTGAACCTGGGAGTCGGAGCTTGCAGTGAGACGAGATCACAACATTGCAGTCTAGCCTGGGCGACACAGTGAGACTTTGTCTCAAAAAAAAAAAAAAACACCTCAGTGAGGCTGTTAGGCAAACGGAAAATGGAACTTACCTGTAACTAGAAGTTAACCAGATGCTTTCAAAAATGTAGGAGTTGACAAGGAAGTCAAGAAAAGAGGAAAATCATTTATGTGATCCCTATAGTAAAATAAACCAAAACCAAGGTAAAATTAGAAATAGAGGCATTTTCTAAATGAAATTCAAGGCTGCCAGATTGGAAGGACAATGTCAATATAATACAGTCTCTTCCATTAATGTTTAACACTTGTCCTATACTGACCTATACATTTGCCCCACTGATGAAATGGAATCTGAACTCGGGATACTGATACTGTGGGAAGAATGATAAAATCGAACTTAAGTACAGCAACAGTCTAGTCCCTGGACCAGGCCCAAGAAAACAAAACAGAAGCATACTCAACTAGGATTAACAATTCAGTTAGCAAGGGGCCAGAAGGCCTATTGTAATTGAGTGGTTTTCACTCTCTGGATTACATGGAATTACCTGGAAGCTTTTCCACACCCAGAGTTCTCAGATGTTCTCATTTGTTAGGCCTGAGCCAAGGCCCAATTCTCTATTTCTGCTAGTTCATTTCCTGTAGGTAATTCGGATATATAGAAAGACTAAAGACTAAGAACAATTCCTTGAATATAGTGACAACCTCTACCTGGAATAGTCCAAATTCTAATTACCCTGATTCCTCCACCAACAGTTCCCAAACTGGTGTACTAGAAACTCTTGTGAATGCTCTTTGGGGAAAAAAAAAAAAAAAAAAAAAAACAAACTCATGGCCATATAAATTCATTATTCTGAGAGGTCCCGTTGAATTTACCAAGCATTTCCCAAATTGATTTGTTAATCAATAATCGCAACGTGCTGGGATTACAGGTGT